TGTGTGTGTGTGTGTGTGTGTCAGGTACAGTGGGGCACTGTGTGTGTGTGTCAGGTACAGGGGGGCACTGTCTGTCTGTGTGTGTGTGTCAGGTACAGGGGGGGCAGTGTCTGTCTGTGTGTGTGTGTCAGGTACAGGGGGGGCACTGTCTGTCTGTGTGTGTGTGTCAGGTACAGGGGGGCACTGTCTGTCTGTGTGTGTATATCTGTGTCAGGTACAGGGGGAGCACTGACTCTGTGTGTGTGTGTGTCAGGTACGGGGTGGGCACTGACTCTGTGTGTGTGTGTGTGTCAGGTACAGGGGGGGCACTGACTCTGTGTGTGTGTCAGGTACGAGGGTGGCACTGTCTGTCTGACATTGGCACACCCTCCCAGCCCTGCATCCCACCTGCAGTGGTTTGTTTCCCTGCACTCTCCCCAGTGAAATACCCCCCCCAACCTACCCCCGTCAGTACCTCCCCTCCCCACCTCATTTCCCCCAGACTCTGCTCTCTCCTGGCCTCGTGTTTCTCCCCCTCTCCCTCGTCTCTCAATTCCCTTGGCATGTTCAGTCTGTAATGTGGCACATTAATATGACCACCATCTCACTGTGACAACACAGGGTCAGTGGGCTGAATGTCCTCTCCCGGTCTCTGATTCCAAACGGATAGCACCAGTGGAGCAATACAGCAGGAACGGGGAAGTAGGGATGCAGTACGGAGGCTTGTTTACTGACGGACTGTTCTCTCCCACAGCCCATGCCACAGCAAGTTTCCAGACCCGGTACTCTGATATTTTCCCCACCAAGGTCTGCCTGCAGCTGAAGATTCGGGAAGTGAGGCAGAAGATCATGCAGACAGCGACCCCGAACGAGCAACCGCAGAGCTCTCTGTTTGTGCCGACCTCTCCTCCAGGCCAGCCGTGCCCGGACACCAGGCCCGATGACGAGGGAGAGCTGGCAGAGGAAGCGGAGAGGCCAGAGCCAACTCCAGGAGAGAGTCCTGAGCCTGGCAGTAGCACCAGGTGATGGCAGAGGCCTGGCAGCTGGCACAGCACGGCACACCTTTTATATGTAAAGACCGTCCGAGAGCAAACCAAACAGAGCCTGCTTCCCCCCCTACCTCCACCCGTCCAGGAGCGATGTGTCAGCCTGGTAACGAGACCCCTGTGAGTGGGGGTGAGGGGGTGCGATCAGATGGGGCAAGGCGCCCACTGCCCTAACGTGGGGCCCATTTTGGAGCGGTCTGCCTGAAGACCACCCCCTCCCCACCCCACCTCATGACGCTCTCCGTGTGTGTGCGTGTGTGCGTGTGTGTGTGTGTGTGTCTGCCGATGGTGGGGGATGGCAAAAGGTGCCGGGGTCGGTGGGGGTGGATTGCAGGCTTTGTAATCGCTCTGTCGCTTTACGTCAGGGACCGCACACACCGCGCTCCTGCACACACCAGACAGAATCGATCAATCCGAGGAGATCTGTCCTTCATCCGCCTCCCTTCTCCCCCCCCACCCCTCCAGCTCACCCTGTCCGAGAGGGTGTGGGCCTGGGTGGTGGGGGGGGAGCATAGACTGCTTTCTGTTTGTCTCCAACCGCGGTTGTTTTTATCAGAACTAATTGTATTGGGAGCTCTGTACAGATTCCAAACCATGTTATTGATTCCAGCTAAGCCTGCCCTACCACTCCCCACCCTGCTAATCCCTCTGTTACAACTCTCTCTCTCTTTCTGCTTTAAATCTCCCTTCCCTCCCTCTGTCACCATGTCTCTCCATGTACTCTTCCCTCCTTCTGTCTCTGTCTCCCACTCTCTCCTCCAGCACTTCTCCATGCCCTCTGCTTGGGTCACTTCCACTATGCGCTGTTCCTGTCTCTCCCTCCCTCACCCTCCCCCTGTTCTCTCCTCATACACCCCCTGCGGCGAAATCTTGTGCTAAAGCATTCTGTACAGAAGATGTAAAGTTGCTTTGTATTATAGATTGAAGGTGCCCCTGAGGGGTGCCATCTCTGAATTGTGAAAACTGTGTTTTTCATCTGTCACCAGCCTAACACAACTATGCCATGCTGCTCACCATCACCAGTGTGCCCGAGTCTCCCCAAATCCATTAACAAGATGTGGGCATTGCTGCCCATCCCTAATTGCCCAAGAGTCAACCATATTGCTGTGGGTCTGGAATCACATGTAAGCCAGACTAGGTAAGGATGGCACTTTCCTTCCCTAAAGGGCATTGGTGAACCAGGTGGATTTTTCCAACAATTGACAATGGATTCATGATCATCATTAGATTCTTAATTCCAGATTTTTATTGAATTCAAATTCCACCGTCTGCTGTGGTGGGATTCAAACCCGTGTCCCCAGAATGTTACCTGGTCTCCGGATTAACAGTCCAGCAATAATACTATTTGGAACAAGCTCCTCTACCACTCCATTGGTACTGGGTCTGTGCCATCAGACAGACCCCATTCCTGCGGCAGTACTCCCCAATCCCAATTTGGCCCACATGCCAGAGAGGACAAGGAACATGGTGAGCCAGGAGGAAACATAGCCACCAGTAATGGCACAGAAAGCTACCATAGACAGCGCGGCGCTCCCTCAGCGCTGACCCTCCGACAGCGCGGCGCTCCCTCAGCGCTGACCCTCCGACAGCGCGGCGCTCCCTCAGCGCTGACCCTCCGACAGCGCGGCGCT